TCTTTCCCTGCAAGTCTGACTCCAAAACGTTTTGGATGCTTTCGTTTCATTTTGGAGATGTTTCAGAGCCTTCTGTTTTGTCTTGGATTTGGCATTTCAGGTCGAAACAGGCCAAAACACCTCCGAAACGAAGCAGCTGCCAAAATTTTGCACAGCTCGAATCTTTCTGTTGTGACAGGCTCTTTGCATGCAGTGTTTCCATTTCATCAAGATTATGACATAAACCTCTGAGTTGACTGTGGCTCCTTAGGCAAGTCATCAAGAACTTCCTCCAAATCCATAGTTTGCTTAGGAGATAAATTAAGAGGAATTACTTTCTGATTGAACCTCATATAATGTCAGGACATGTGCCTTGTTCACTGGTGGAAAAAAGTCATTGACAGAGAAGTATTGGAAAATATAGCTGTGTGTTCAGCAATAATGTACACAATTTCTTTGCAAGCTTACCATTTTCTGAGATATTAAATATCAGTAATATTCTCAGCAATACTTGGCTAAGAAAAAAGTAGGAAGCAATACTTTCTGACTGACCTTTGCAGATGTAAAATTAGTCATGCTAGGTAAATCCTACCACCGCACAGAGCTATCAGCAGAATTGATCTGACATTTCTGAATCACTCCTTCAATAGTGATTCAATCAGCGGATTGAAACTTAATCCATTTTTGCTTCCTGAAGCATTCCTTTAATTTAAACACCCCTATCCCTCTTTTTGTTTGTAAACAATTAACATGACAGTCACACTTTTACTGACAACATAATGTCTCAAGACTTGTAATGGAGGACTGGTTGATGGATGTATATTAATTCAGATTATCTGTGACTGTTCATTGTAAAATACCTTGAAGCTACTCACTAATATATTTAAATAATTCTACTTGCCATCAATCAATACACTTTGAAAAAAGAGAAATAATTCTATTTCATAGCATGTTAGTTTGAATTAAAGTTCGTGTGGGATGTATTCTTTACTACGCACTTCTGCATGCCTTCCTGCTTATATCTGCTTTAAAGGGAGATAAGCCTGTTTATGTATTCTGGGGATCATCTTGATTAAATGCTGGTGACCTAGCTGATATCTCACAGAATGTTATATACCTAGTTTAGCAACTATGGCTCCCTGTGCTTCCATGTGGACTCCTACAGACCTCCTAGATAATTCTGTGCATGCCATCATTCCTTCAGTATTGATTTGAACACAGATGATTAGCAGTTACTCCTAACGTTTGGTTTTTTGTTGTACATTTAACTGATGCACCATTGTAGATAAGAATTTAAGGCAAAAATAGTGTACTATTTTGGCATGCACCTGGTAAGGCAATGCAACCATCTCAGAGCAGCCTGTATAGGTAGCATCTCTCTTTCACTCTTACACCAATTAGAGCAGGGGTGGACAAAATATGGCTCGCAGGCCAGATCCAGCCCGTGAAGGGTCTTTGTCTATCCCACAGCAGGTCCCTTGGTCCTGCCTGGCCCAGGTGCCATCCCGCCATGGTGCAGGGCTGGGGCGGCTCTGCAGCTGGACTGCCTTTCTAGGAAGCCCAGGGAGCAGTGGCTCCCTCCCGCTGGCCACCGCGCCGG